CCAGAGCTTGCACCTCTCACCCCTTCCCACACCCAAATCCCTCATTCCCACCCCAGAGACTACACATCCTGTCTCAACACAGCAAGGGTCCAGCTAGACTGCAGGAGTTTTTCAGGACTCTGGAGATATCCCAGAAACACTCTTCTGCATCCAGGGTTGAGTTTGTTCTTCCACTTTTCTAGCGGAAGAGCAAACAGGCTCTTTTGGTCACCCCTATATTCCTCTTTCCACAAGGAATAAGGTGGCTTCCAAAAGAAGGGTTTTTTTTCTGACATTTGGTCCAGTCTAGACAGGCTAAATGTTGGAAAAACCTCTTCCTACAGAAGAATTTTTTTTAAAAAAGCAGCAGTATAAGTATTGGGGAGAGCAAGTGATGGAGAGGAGGAGAATAGAGAGGGCGGGGCTTCAAGGAAGGGGCGAGGCTTCAAGGAAGAGGCGGGGAGGGAGATCTTGGCTTGGTCTGTCATTTAAAAAGTGATCTTGGGTGTAAAAAGGTTGGAGACCACTGTTCTAGGGGTATTAAATATCAGTTAACTGAATAGTCGAGTAACTTCAAGAATTCTTATTGGTTAGTCGACTATTCTATAGTCCCTGGCGGGAGGGGCCAGCAGGCAGTGTGCTCCAGCCTTATTCCTGAGGAGCCCCTTGCGCCACTTCACACTACTGCCTCTGTATCAGAGGTAGCAGTGTAGGGTGTCAGGCGGGAGCTGGTCCGTGAGGGGAGTCAGTTTAATAACCAGCTCCCCTCATGGACCTGTTGTCCTATGCTGCTATCTCTGATAAAGAGCCACAGCAAGGATAGGTCCCGGACTCATTTCAAGCCAGGACTGAGCCAGACTGCTGGCCAGCCTGCTAAACAAATTGGCCATGGAACCCTTTTAAACTCTAAAGAATTTTGCAAAACCCCTAACAGTCATATATGGAGCTGAAAAAGTAGACCACAAATAAGTAAGGATTATAATAAACAAATGCTAAAATTCATAAATGCATAAATATTCTTTTTTTAAATCATAAAAATTTATTGTAATGGAATTTTCTCGTGGAACTCTTATTTTCACTTTGTGGAACCTCGGGGTTCCGCGGAACACCATTTGGGAAACACTGTCCTAGGGTAAAATCCTGGCCTCTAGTGAATTCAGTGGGGTCAGGATTTCACCTCCAGTATCTTCAAACTCGTTAAAGGCACCTGCGATTTCTTTTAGCATTTACTTGGCTTCCAAAGTGATACCCTGATCCACTGTCTAACCACAGCTCAGTGCAGAATAAGGACCTAACTAGAGCTCATTTTAAAATACACATGCGAGTACTAACTGCATTGTGCAGTGAAGTTCCAGGAATTTATTTACTTATCCTAGCAAATTCCAGAAGATCCTCTATATTTAAGTGCTCAGATACTATGCTGAAGAGGATTATATAAGGAACCAAAGAGATCAAAATCCAGTGTATTGTTCATTTGAGTCTTGAATAAAGCAAGGACTTCTCTTTAAAGACTTCTCTAGACTGCTTTAATACACAATACAGTGTCCTAGCCTACATCTAAATATCACACCCTGAGCAACATAGTTAAGTTCACCAAGCTCCCACTGTCACAGCTAGATCAACAGAGGATTTCTTCTATTAGCCTAGCTACCACCTCTCCAGGGGATGGATTAATTACAGCAAACCCCTCTTCTGGCATAGCTCCAGTGCCTCAGCTGTGTTGCTTGTAGCACTTGTAATTTAGACAAAGCCAATGACTTTTGCTGATTTTACCTTACATTTTTCCTCAGCCAAAGATAGAGATAGTTTTGCATTTCTTTTTTGGTGAGTAACACAAA